CAGAAGGATGGAAGGCCGATGAGGATTGAAGGAATTGAACTCTTGACAATGTGAGCAATGTTAGCCTGCAATACTGCATTCTAACCACTGCACCACTACCTGTTTTTATGGCTTAATGAATAGCAAGTTTTGCCAAATGGAATTGATATATTTAACTTTTTTTTAGTTAAAGGCAATGGTGAGATTCAGTCGGTTCGCACCACTCTGGCAGAACCAGTAGCAAATTTTTTGTTGCCCAGTCCCAGAATGGACTTTCGGAAGCAGTTGTTCACATATTTGAATCCCACCACTGGTTAAAGAGTGTTAATTCCAACTACTTTGGAAGGTGTTGAATTCTCCTCCTTCTATAGAGCTCTCTTCACTTTCACATAACAAGATACAAATATGTCCTATCAATCTCTTTATTTTGCTTTACCCCATGACATTGCCTTAAGCTTATCTTCATACCATGAATAAGATAACCTTAAGTCATCCTTGCTTATTTTGATTTTCCCCTTAAGTTGGTAGTAATCTGAGCAGTTTTAATATTTGTGGAATCTGATACACTCTCCCAATTTCAGGTTGCTGCAGGCATTCTCCATACTCTCAGGCAAGTGACCCCAATTGACACGTGATCCACGCAATAGAGGAATTGCCTAATTTAATTGTATAAAATATCTTCCTTTACTGGGCAGACTTCCAGCCAATAATTAACTGTTGGGTGGCTTCTTTTAATAACAGGTATAGCAATCTTTTAGAAGAAGCATATGGCAAAGCATACCAGATGTTTTAGAGGCAGGATAGCTTTCAGGAATGGATACAGAAATGTTTATGCAGATAGAGTTTCCTATTAAGTAAACTTAAATGTTAATAATGTTAAGAATCAATGTATAGCATTATGTCTGGTTTTACAAATGAAGCTTTTAATTATTATTATATATATATATTTCTTTTTTATTCTTTTTACATATAATAATTTTGTTTTTTAAAAAAGAAAAGAATATTATTAAATAACAAACCACATTTCATCCATTCAAAAGCGGGAGGCTGATAAAATCTGCTAAAATAGCAAACAGGTTTAGGTAGAAACAGGGAAAGTAAGAAATCTTGCAACCTGTGGTCTTCTGGTTTGGCGTTCGACAAGACAGATGGAAGAAGCCGGAGCTCCGGCTTCTTAGCCCAATTTCGTTCTGCCCGGTGACCCCAAGGGGTCGGAAAGTTGCCCTGGAGGGGCAACAAAGAAGGAGGAATGCCTCAGGAGTCCGGACCACACGGCAGTTGGTCCAGAAGGACTGAAGAAATCGTCTAAAAGGACGGAAGAAAGGCTGCCTGGTAAGCCCAGACAGCCCAAGTCATTGCCAGCCAGAAGAAAAGTGAGGAGCCGCAGCGCTCTGCTAAACAGCTGATTGTGAACAGTGTGCTGAAACTGGGGAGCCTGCTCTTTTTTCTTTTCCTTTTGCACCTAAAAATATTGATCCCCTGATTGGGAAGAGCTATAAAGTAAAGACCCCAGAAGGACTAGGGGAGAAGAGAGCAACTACAGAAAGGGGAAGGATTTTAAGGAATATAAAAGAACTCACCAGCGTATGAGGACATCTAGTGGTCAAAGAAGATACTACAGTAACACTAAATAATAAAAGAATCTGAAAGTGTTTGACCTTGAAACAACACCTTTGTGTGAGTTTACAAGTGAAAAAACGTTCTACAATTATATTTGTTGACTCTGGATATAACCAAAACAGGAATTACTTGGAGACAGCAGCCGTTTTACATCTGAGACTCGACTGGAGGATTTGGATTTGGCCTAAAGCAGTTGGCTTGTTCTTTTTGGCTGGATTTTATCCTAAGATAGTTGCCTTTTTTTCTCTTTTTGCTTGTTTTATTTTATTTTCTCTCCTTGAGATACTGGATTTAGCCTAAAGTAGTTGGCTCTTTTTACGGTTTGGATTTTAGCCTAAGATAGTTGGCTGGAAAAATGAGTACATCAAATCTCACCAGACTTATGAAAAAGACTTCCTCTGCACCCTCTGTTGGAACATCTAGCCCAACAACCCAGGGATCAAGAAATAAAAAAGATAATTAAAGAATATTACAAGAAACTGTATGACAGAACAAATTCCAAGAGAGAGGATGATCTAATTATCTGGAAGAAAATAACCTTCCAAAAATTTCAGAAACCTGTAAGATTATGTTAGAGGAAAAAATAACAATGATGGAAATAACAGAGGCCATAAGAAGACAAAAAAATGAGAAAACACCGGGGCCAGATGGATTACAGTGGAGTTATATAAAGCTTTACAAGATATACTAAGTGAACTGCTGAAAGACGTTTGCAATGAACTTTTGTTAGAGGCTAAACTACCAAATACATGGATAGAAGCAAATATTACTTTAATACCAAAAGAAGACTCAGATTTGACACATATAAAAAATATAGACTGATATTGTTACTGAATGTGGATTATAAAATTTTTACTTCAATAATGGCAGAGAGACTGAAAAAAATCTTAACTGAATTTATACATTCAGATAAAAATGGTTTTTTTGCCAAAGAGACAAATTAAAAATAATTTAAGAGTGATAATGGATGTATTGGAATATTATGAATTACATCCAGGGAAACAACTGGCACTAATATTTCTAGATGCCCAAAAGGCATTTGATAATGTTTCCTGGCAATTTATGATTCAGCAATTACAAATAAAGGACTTCGGGCAGAACTTTATAAACATGATTAAAAACAATATACAATAAACAAACAGTGAAAATGATTGCAAATGGAGACTATACTGAGAACTTTGAGATAAGAAAAGGCACAAGGCAAAGATGTCCATTATCTCCATTGTTATTTATTTTCACTCTGGAAGTTTTAAATAAAAATATTAGACAAGATATAGAAATTAAAGGACTAGAAATAAAAGCAAAATATATAAATTACAAGCATTTGCTGATGATTTAGTATTTATTTTAGAAAAACCTTTGGAGATGATTCCTAAACTATTCGGAAAGATAGAACAATACGGAGAAATGGCAGGACTGAAAATAAACAGAGAAAAAAAACAAAGTAATGGTTAAAACCTTACAGATAAAAAAAAACAAATGTCGGAAAAAAGAGAATTGCAGATAGTTAAAAAGGTCAAATATCTGGGAATATATTTAACAGCAAGATGTTCAACGATAAAAGAAGATAATTATACAAAACTATTGAATCAAATAAGACTTGATCTGGAAAAATGGGAAAACTTGCAATTGTCAATATTAGGAAGAATTGCTATAGTGAAAATGAACATACTACCGAAAATCTTATTCTTATTCAAAAAAATACCTATACAACTTGAGAAAAAATTCTTTGAGGACTTAAATTTACTAATCTTGAAATTTATTTGGCAAAGAAAGAAAGCTAGAATTAAGGTGAAAATGTTACAAAATGCCAAGAAAAATGGAGGTTTGGTCTACCAGAGAGGATTTTATATTATCAAGCATCTGTATTAATATGGGTTAAAGAATGGATAACTCTTAGAAATAAGAGTTATATCTGGAGGGGCATGTTATATCTATTATATCTGGAGGGGCATGATTTACAATTGGGGTGGCACGCTTTTTTATGGTACAGGAAAAATAAAGTCCATAAATATTTCCAAAATCATTATATAAGAAATGCATTATTAACAACATGGGGAAATATAAAATGTAAAATATATTTGAAAATTCCACTCTGAAAGGAATTTAAAATCTAAACAAGAAATGGAAAAACAGGATATCAATCTACCATGGTGGGCACATTTACAAATGCAAGCTACATATGATAAAGATGTTAAACCGTATGGGTTTTATAAGGAACAAACTGTGTTTGATAAGACATTGTTTACTTCTGATGAGAAACTAATTAAGAAAATGTATAATTTTCTATTAACTTTGAAAATGGAAAGCGAACAAGTTAAAGAAACAATGATAAGATGGACAAATTTTTTAAGATATAATATAGAATTCGAAAAATGGCAAAATTTATGCGAAAGAAATTACAAACTGACAATGTCAACTTCCTACAAAGAAAATTTATATAAAATGTTCTATAGATGGCACTTGAAAACCAGCAAGACTAGCAAAAATGTTTAAAAACTTGTCAGATACATGTTGGAAATGTAAACATAAGTGAGGCACTTATTACCATGTTTGGTGGACATGTGACAAAGTAAAGAGTTATTGGAAAAAGATACATACCTGGCTAGAAAAGATGTTGGGAGAACATGTAGATTTTAAACCTGAACTTTTTTTATTAGGTATAAAAAAATATCTTCCACTAGACTAGAGATATCATAAATTACCAGAGAAATCAAGATAGGCAGCTCTGAAAGTTGAAGAGCTCTTATTCTAACAAAGGGAAATGCAGGCTCTTAAATCTGAGTTGGACTGAGTAGTATTTACACTCCTGAAGACTTGTTAACTGGAGAATGGATGAAAGTCTTCCAAGTAGAATTTGGCAAGCATAGGGAAACTTGTTAAAAATGAAGAGGAAGAAATACTGCAATACTGAGTTATTTAATACAGATTGCCCTGCTAAGAATCAAAGATTATGAAAGATTAAAATTTTTATCAGTCGAAGAAGCCTGTTAACCTAACTCACAGATGGAAAATGACCAACAGTGCTGGCAACCCTTCCTTTAAGTCTAAATGAGAATCTAAGTATAGTTAAGAAATAGATTGATATACTTATGTGCAAGTATCAGAAGTTGGAAGAAGAGATAACATAAAAATTTACGACTTGAAAAGAACAGAGTGGGCAAGAGCAAGGAACAGCCCCCAGCCATCTATATTGCTATACTTCTGGAAGCCTGATACCTATTCTCACTGTTTCCCCTGGATCCTCAAAATAATGGTCCTGGACCTCACATTCCACTTGCAGAAGCAAATTTTACCCCCAAGATTAAACAATATATATATTGGCTGGAGGCAGAGAAACTATTGTTATACCTATCAAGCAACACAATTGGTCTGTATTAAAATAATAATAGCAAAAATACCTGAGTGATGTAAATAATTTTGTGCAGCTGAACTAGAATCTGTTGAATAGGATCACTGATCTGACGTACCTTCCGTTGCGACACAGCAATCCCAGCTGATGCTGCAGAAGATAATGTTAACAGTCAGCAATGAAAATAAATTTGCTGCTTTCAGTATTTTTCTCAAAGACAGATGCAGAAGCCAGGAAAGGGGGGAAAAGAACAGAAAGGCATTTGGATCTTGCAAATTGTAATCTAGTATTTCCCTTCTTGTAACAACACTATTAATAGAGAGTTATTGAATTTTAAATATAAAACATTTTCCGTGCTTTAGTTCTGTTGAAATATTTATGGAGCAAAAGCAAAATAACATTTTTTAAAAGTTCAATAAAATTAGATGTAGGCTATACAAAAGTTGTCAAATCATAAGTTATATGCTTTTCAACATTCTCTAGGACGAAAAAATAAAAATCATTTTCAGCCTTCAAAACCTGAATAAGATTGTTTTGGGTGCATTCTACAACCAGACATAAAAATCTATAAAAGTAGTTCAACTTTATTCATAATAATATCAAGAACAGAGCAAATTTAAATTTTCATTTCCTTTCTGACTCAGTATCACAGAATATGAATGAACATATGCTACAAGATGGTAAAATGTTTTTCTTTTTATAAGACAGTTTGCCTGAGGCGGAACAACTCTGCACGATAGGGATTAACACAATCAACGGGCCGATGACACGCTCAAGGAGCCGGGCGCAGAGGCAGGAGGCTATATGAGCTGCCTTCCCGATCTCCTGCTATTCTAACTCTGATGACGCCGGCAGTTTTTGGCGAAAGCTTAGGACTTTTTTAACCACAGACTTGTTTATATTAAACAGGCTGGTTTATTTTATCCTGGTGTTCGTTTTTTCTTTTATTTGTTTTGTAAAATATTATCTCCACAAAAATTATTCAGATAGAATCTAGCTACTGAAATTAGAGAATACCTTTGTAATTAATTTATTAATAAATGCTATTTATTAGTATTTTCTTTCATTAGAGTTACTTGGGGTAGTGAAATTGGCAGCATATAAATTTAATAAATAAATAAAATTTTATTAGTGTTTATTAGCCATTTTGGTCTAATGGCTAAAGCAGCAGACTAGAAATCAGGATATCTTGAGTTCTAGTCCCACCTTAGGCACGAAAGCTGGCTGGGTGACTTTTGGTCAATCATTCTCTTTCAGTCCAACTCACCTCACATGGTTGTTGTTGTAGAAAAAATAGAAGGAGAAAGGAGTATTAAATATCTTAGCTGCCTTAAGTTACTTATCAAAGTAATAAAAGCAGGATATAAATAAATTAAAAAATAGCTATAGTAACAGAATCTTGCAAATCAGAAAGTATTTTCCTTCCTCTTTCATCTTCTTGTGAATTTACGAGGGGGGGGCAGTCTGGGGGGTTTTCATAAACCACTTTCTTGGTCTGGGCTGAAGGTTCAGCTATCTGATTGTTGCTTTGGCAATCGATTTTCCCTCTGTACTTCAAGATCATCCTCAATATTCATTACTGGATCCAAACTAAATTCATTTTATGACTTGGTTTAAAGCTTAATGTATATTTTATCAATTTCAGGAAGGGAAGTGGTACAGTTTTCTATCTCCATTTTTTCCCATGATTATAATATACAAAATATAACTAATATTAATTAATACTTATATGCAGCACAAAATAGTTTATGTTCTTTATGAAAGATATTGACAGACTAGAAAATAGCAGTCTGAAGGTAATCAAAGCCAGGCAGAAGAATTTCAAAAATGTGTGAACAGACTTGTAGAGGAAATTCCTTCATTTGAATATTCCTTAAAGTATAATAAAGAAAATGCAGTCCCCTTGGATTTCTCCTTTGTAATTCTTTGGTTGTTCCAGCCCTCATTTTCTAATGTTTGTGCTATTATTATTATTATTATTATTATTATTATAATTTAATTTATATACCGCCCTTCTCCCGCAGGACTCAGGGCGGTGCACAGCGTATTAAAAACAGTACAAATACAAAACATAAAAATACAAACCCCTATAAAACCAGATTAAAAAACCGAATATTAGAAGCTGTGTTTCTATTTAAAATTATTTTTAAAATCACCCTAANCTGGCAACCAGTGCAGCTCGCGCAGAAGCGGTGTTACATGGGAGCGACGAGTCCCTCCCAACACCGCCCGCGCGGCCGCATTCTGGACCAGTTGAAGTCTCCGGGTGCTCCTCAAAGGGAGCCCCATGTAGAGAGCATTACAGTAGTCCAGGCGGGAGGTGACGAGAGCTTGAGTGACTGTGCGCAAAGCGTCCCGGTCTAGTGTTAACCCAGGACAAACTTTCCTCCTATTTCCAGCTATTTATGATGTGAAGAGAGAAAGAGAAATAACTAAGCTATTTCTACCAACATTCTGAACTTCTGTAAATATAGTTTGGTTTTCCTTGTTCCTTTCCTTTTTTTCCATTTTTTTTTGTCATTCCTATCATAAAATATGTTTTTTCACTCTCCAGTAAAAAAAACACCTTCAGATGACTGCTGTCTAAACCGTCGTCCCTACAGCATGTAGTTGTTTTCCATTCATTTTTCAGAAGGAATAAAAAATAACAACAAATGCAGTATCAATGGAGTATCCAAGCATGTTCAAAAATCAACATTGATAAAGAAAATACAGAAAGCCGTCATTTAATAATGTCAATTAATGGCCATTTGAAGTTATGATAGACTTCTCCCAAAAATATTTACCACCACGTTTCAAAGTTATGGTCCCTATAGTGCCCCACCCATGTCATGCATTGTTATAACCAACTACAGAGATGCTGGAGCAGCCCCTCCACGTCTCTTCTTCCCATCCTATCCTGCCAGGTCCCCAAAGACCTTAAGTCTGCCCCCTCATCTATCCATAAGCACACTTATCTTTTGAAAATCTCCAGACCTCATGTTATGGAAGGAGGACAGACCATTTATCCAGGTCTAGGACAACTTGGCACAGCCAGCTTGGCACAGCCAGCTCATTGCAGCCAGATCACCATTAAGTTGCCTCTGCCAACTTACCAAGTTATTGCAGGACAACTCAACATGGCCAATTCATTGTGGAGACAACTCACAACATGTAGCCAGAGGGAGAGTCGGGCAGGTGGGTGAGTGAGCAGGTAGGCAGAGTACAAAGCGGCAGTGGCTGGGAATTCTCATCTGCACACCACTTGCAATTGCTGTAAGTGCCACTGCTACTGCACTGAGCTCTGAGACAGTTGGTGGCAGCATTGGGTAGGGCAGGCAGCCTGGAGAAAGTGGCCGGGTGCATCCCATTTTCACATCCTGCCGCTGCAGTGCCAATCTCCAGGAGCTCCAGGAGCTTGGCATCACAGCAGCAACAGTGGCAATAGCTGGTGTGAAAATGGGATGCGCCTGGCCACCACTGACTACTGGCCTCCTGCCCTGCCCACCACCAATGCTGCCGAATGGGTCGAACTCTGAATGGCCTGGAGATTGGTGGGATGGCAGGGACAGTGGTGGGGGATATGCAAATGGGAAGCCCCCAGCCACCGCTGCCACTCTGCACTCTGCCCACCTGCTCACTCATCTGCCCACCTGCCCAGCTCTCCCTCCATCTGCCCACAACGAGTTGCCCTTGCAGCAAATTAGCCTTGTTGTATTGTCCTGTGATGACTTGGTGGTGGTGAGTTGGCAGAGGGGACTTGACGGTGATAAACTGGCAGCAATGAGCTGGCTGTGCTGAATTCTCCCATTCTACCCTTGTCCGTGGATTGCATGTCTGCGCCCCTGAAGTGCCCACACTTTCAATCCACCAATTCTTTGTAGTCATATAGAAATGGCAGCCATATTTATTTTATTTATTTATTTTTATTTATATTTGAATTTATATCCCGCCCTTCTCCCGTAGGACTCAGGGCGGCTGACAATCTATTTAAAATACATACAAAACAGTACAAATTTAAAATTAATTAAAAGGAATATTAAATATTTGTCGAATTTAAAATATAATTAAAACCCCCCTAAAAATTACCCTAGGCCAGTCCTGCAAGCTGGAATAACCAAGTCTTGAGGGCGCGGCGAAAGGAAGGGAGATCAGGGATAACCCTGATCTCTGGGGGCAGTTCATTCCAGAGGGTGGGAGCTCCCACAG